GCTGCCGCGGGCCGCGCTGCCGGGCGGCGGGGCCGGGCCGCCCGCGCTGCCGTGTGCGAGCGGCGCCCGCTCACCTGCGGGAGACAAAGGGAGGCAGCGGCGGCCCCGCCGCCCTTCCCGGGCGCCCCCGCCGGGCCGGGGGGATCTGCCGCCCTTGTGCGAACTTGAGCGCGGCAACTCGGGCTGGCTGGGCCGGGGCGGCTCTGCCGCGCTATTTATATCCAGCCCTCGCAGACAACAACTTAACAAAAGCCCGCGCCGAGGAGCGAGCGGGGCTGCGAGGGAGCTCGCCTGGGGGCGGGGGGGAGCTGCAGCGGCGCTGAAAAGTTGTCCTGACACTTGTTTAAAATGCATCGCTTATTCAGTGCTCTGAGTCACGGGCAATTATTAAATGGTTGCTTATTATGCCTCTAGCGTTTAAAGACGTGTGAGCTCCGGGTAGGTAGTTTACTTGCAAGTAGTGCTCGGTTTCTAACTGTTTGAGGAAAGAGTGAAGGGCTGAGCTTGTTTTCATACAGGTTGTAAGTTGTCTGTGTTTTGGTTATATATGTTGTTTCCATTTGTGTGCAACTTTTGCATGCTTTAAATGCACGCCTTGCAGAGGGTGGCTCTTAGAGGCGTCGGTGAGGACTGGTCTGCGTGAAAATGCTGGCTGAGGAGTCAGGTGTGCTGGACAAGCAGTGCTGCCCCTTGGGAAGAAAGGTATGAATAGGGTTGAAGTCTGACAAGAGACCGGTCTCCCATGCAGATACAGCCTGAGCCCCTAAGAAAACTGCCCAGGGAGAAACCGAATCGTGGAATCTACTGAGGTGTCACTAGGGTATCTCATCTGGCCTGAACTGTTAAGAATTTATCTTAATTTAGCCTTCATAATTGAGTTTATTTCTGTATCAGCACTGCGGAAGGGTTCATTTCAGTAGTGGGTGAAGTTTGATGCTGAAAATGGAAAAAGATTACACAAGTCAATTGCTTCTGCTTTGTAGGACACTGCGAACAAGGTCATACAAAGAAATTTAAGGCGATCCGTTAAGACTCAGTAGCATTTTTAACACCTTATCATCTGCTTGTATTAGAAAGTAAGTAACAATTCCCTGTCCTCAGTAAGGGTTTGGTTTTTTGTTTTTGTTTTTTTTTTCCCAGAGGAAAGTAAAACAAATACCAGAAAGTGTTTTCGGTTATTTCCCGAGACTCAGTTACCTGGTTCTGGAAGATGAGAAGTAAATGCTGCGTGCCTGATAATTTCAAAAGAGAGGGTGGGAAGGGGGAAAGTCTTGAATTCTAGGATAACGCTGAAGGTAGAGGTGATCATCTCTCATACGATACATGAGCATACTGTATGTGTACCATATATGATCATATTAATGATTCTGTGTCTTAGGACCGTGCTTCTTTCAAGAATTTGCATCGGGAGAGCATCATTCAATAGTTGAGACTGGGTGCTGTAAGGAGGTGAGGGTGCAGCAGTTGCAGGGTTTAGGTTGCTCCAGGAAAGGCTCAGCTCGGAGCGGACCTGCAGCTCTCCGAACCCTGCCTGTCTGAGGGTGATTGGAGCTGTCACATCGGGTCTGGATAAAAACCATCTCCTTCTGTGGGGACGCACATAAAAATCTGGCTAGAGGCAAGTGATGGCATGCGGAACCCCTGGTGCTGCGTGTGCACCCGCTGTGGGGAGAGCTCCCCGGAGCCCTGAGCGGGCCGGGCCGGTTCCGAGAGCAGCGGAGCCCTGAGCGGGCCGGGCCGGTGCCGGGAGCAGCGGAGCCCATCGGGCCGGGCCGGGCCGGGCCGGGAGCAGCGGGGCCCATCGGGCCGGGCCGGGAGCAGCGGAGCCCATCGGGCCCGGCCGG